AGGAGAGAAACAGGAGATGGTTATGCAAACAAGGAGAACACAGAAGATTGCAGACTGTTTCTTTATTTTACAGTAAACAATATTACTGCGTAAAATACATGAGTAGTCTGTAAACCAGAGATTGAAACCCAGGGCTCCCATTAAGGGTTTTATAGGGTCTAGTTCTAAATGTAGATAAACATCCAGACGTCACAGTTTAAAGTTGCTGGTACTCAGTGCTTAAATGTAACCTCTGAAACAGTGGTGGTATTTTGCTTGATCATGCCAGTTTTCATACATACTCACGATACATTTCATTTTGAATATCAAGTTTTGATTTCTAGTTCCACGTGCCTTATCCATATTCTGTCCAAAACAGCATTGACAGGACAAGTTTTGGACTCAGTTAAGCAGAACACTTTGGTTTCTGTGAGTAGAAAGAGTCTGTGACTTGGTTTCTGTGACTCTACAGAGAGTAAAATCACTTAAAGGTTAGGGGTTTTTTCTGTTGTCTTGTTTTATTTTTAAAGAAAGTAGTTGCTACTTACATGTAGAAGATACTCCAGAGGGAAGGTTTTGTGACTAGTTCTGTTCGCGTGCACTGAAGTTTCCATTGTTTTGAGTACCAGTGTGTTTCTTTTGGGACAGGGCTGATTAGATTGCCACATTAACTGCCAAATAATATCTTAGTGGCTGAAAAGTACACTGGTTGGAGCAAATCTACATGTTATGGCTTAAAAATAAGGATGACCACTGCTAGTTTGGTTTACCTAACCCAGACTATGAATTCACACTGTCTGGGATCATTCTTTTGCTGTTTCTCCAATGTATTTTCACAAACCTGCTCCAAAACACCAGCGATTTCTTTTTGTCTCCTCAATACGTTCCGAATGCTTCTGTTTAGCAATAGAATTAGCAGGATTGCAAAGTTAATCCTATTGCAAAGTCCATGCAGAAATGCCACGTGCTGTTGGAATGTCAGTGAAAAAAATATTGGCATTAAAGCTGCCGACCTCCGTCCACTCCCCACGCGCCCCGCTTTTCACCCAGGCTTATACATACTGAAACGCACACCTGCATTGTGATACGCTTGATCCGTTGCACGGGATGGACCTGCCTCAGGAATGAACTGATGATGTGAAGCAGTTAAGACTTGAGTGTAGACTATGTGCATGTTTTGCTGGAAAAATGGTTTCAGATTAGGGTAGCCGAAGGATATGCTGGAAAAAAACAGTGGCAGAGAGTGAGGTACAATCAGATGTTCTTTGTGATACTGAGCAAATTACTTAAAATGGAATTCTTCAGAGATGTTCTCTAATTCTGCTACGTCACCTTAGTATAAATGATTAATCTCGGAAAGGAGGTGTTTGGCTATTACAGTCTTGTGCTTCAGTTTCCTTCTCAGAAAAGATGGAACGGTAGCATCTGCTGTTTAAGTGCCTAAAATGCACATAGGAAAACAATACTAGCTTATATAAAGACTTTATTATTAGCCATTTTAAGAGGCATCTAGGAAGAGATTGCCTGAGCAACTTCAAAATTGTCACTTTTCCTAACATTTTAGTACACTTAGTTTTGCAGAATTAATGGTAGTATATCTGATTTTTCTTTAGAAAAAACAAAAGCAGAACAGCAATAAAGAGCAAATAAAAACCTGCAAAATTGCTTATAGAAAAATATATTATGTTGATTTCCATATCAGTCCTTGGTAAAACTAGTCTTTTAATGCGTAGACTTCTGGTCAGTGAGACTGGAAGGTAACCGTTAGCACTGTGTATGACAACGTCGGATTCTTAACAGCTGAAAAGAAATTGTAAACTGTCACAGAGGTAACACGTAGAAAAGCTAAAATTGTTTTTTCCAGTGTTACTAGGGGAGGGAAAATTAGAAGTAATTCAGAAATTAGAATTAAAGAGAACATTGTTTCCAAACAACCGCGAAGGATCTCACCTGAAGCAAGCTATTGCACTAAATAATGTAGTGTACTTCAAAAACCAGGAGACGTTTTCATTATGCTTGCTACAGTTGCTGTGGTAGAGCTTGCATGGAGAATTGGGGGAATATTAACTTGAAATTGCATGAGTATTGAATAGCTCAGTGAAATGAAGAATGCTGTAATTGCTAAGTGTCAGAAAAATATGTTTGGAAATTTCATTACAGAAAACAAGCGCAGCCCCCCAGAACTGCCGAACCCAAACCGTAGACGTGTACTTTCAGTAAGCATTAGCAGGGAGAACTGGGTGCGTGTGTTTTGGCTTCTCTCTGTCCTGCACATGGAAAATATATTCTTAAAATCACGTTATTCTGTCTCCTTTTTCGCCGACCTGAGATGGCAAGAGTCATGTTACATGTGCTGTTGTGGTTGGATTTGCATGGATGGAGCTCTCGGTCTGAGCAGTTACAGTGAAAGTTGCACGATCTCCCTTGTGGTCACACTCCATAATTCTCCCACAACTATCAGAGTATCTGTGCGCCAAACTGAAATGATGTTTTGAACCATGTTACTTGTTGAACTACATCAAGGTTATGTCAAGGCTCACCTGCTTTGTCATCTTCAGTTTGCCAAGTGTGTGAGGAAATGGGATTTCTACTGTTTGTAGAAATCTGGTGGCTTTCCAGTGTGGTGAGTGGGTGTTTAAAAAAGAAAAAAGGAGAAAAATCCCAACAAAATAATACTGAACTGAAATGTGATCTGCCCAGATTGCCTGCAGTCTGCAAGAAAGCTGAATTTATTAATTCCTGCCTGTACTAGAGTTTAATTCCTCCTTGTACTAGAGTTTAATTGCTGCCAATTTTAGAGCCCGTCCTAGCTTACGCTAGAGCTTTGCTGCCCTGTGCTAGAGACACCACTTTGAAAGTATGATTGAAGTGTTAAGAGTGTGATTACAGCTTAGAAATGCTATTTTGCTGTGTCGTGCGACCTCGTATAAATGTTAAATGTGTACTTTACTTTAAACAGGCAACATAAATTTGAAGTACAGTTTCAATTGTCACTATCTGTGCCTGCACTAGTAATAACCAAACCACTTTTGTCTGATTTTTTTTGGTGTTTTGTTCAGCCTATAGTAGGTGCAAAGTCGTTGATTTGGCAAAGATGGTGTAAGACAGCATCCTGGAGTTGCTCACGGTGTTATGTCTGCAAAGGAAAAGTAACTACTCACGGAAGAGGCTTGTACCTCTAACTAGCCGTGTGGAAGTGACCATAAATACTTCTGTAAATTATATTACAGAAAAACAAAAGCAGCTGCAGTGGATTCACATAACTTGAATCCAAGAGTAGCCACAAATAATACTTAAGAAAGGTTATAAAAACAGAAGAAGTAGATACTTCCATTTTCCTACCCCGTTTGCTATCCCAGACTGCATCCCTGAGTCATGGCTGGTTCCTGCATACGTGGAGATAACTCAGCGGCATATTCTCCTGTGAAATTGTTTGCTTCTAAGCCCTTACAAATTTCTAGCATCTGCAAAAACCTTTACCGCTTAACCATGGGATGTGTGAAAAACTACTTTATTCCCATTATTTTGAGATGTGCTGAATATAATCTGCTCTTTTATTGTCAAGTTGCTACTCAGAATCCTTCTTCACTCATGTTGTCTTACATAACTTAGTGTCATCAGTAAAACCATGTTGTGTTCTGAAACAGTAGATGTTACTATAGGTTGTTTTGGCATTCTACTTGTGGCAAGTTATTTATTTACTCCTACCTGGTTTTCTGTTTTTCAACCTATTTTGTGTATACAAGGATATTTCCTTTTATCTTACAGCTGCTTGGCTGCCTTTTCTAGATAAATGTCGTGCAGCTGGTCGGACTTCTCATGGCACCATATGTCTCCCTGTCCGGGAGTATTGCCCTGCCTGGCCTGCCTCTCCTTCAAACCTCACCCCCAGGTCTCCACTGTTACTGCATTAAGAAAAAACATTTGACACATTGCTGGAACTGTGTTATGAGGTTCAGTCAGCAGCTTAGGGCAGTGTCTTAGACTATCTTTTGTTTCTTTGATTTTAGGGTGAGAATGAAAGAGTTCTGAAGGGAAGCTCAAGAGCTTGGGGCATTTGACTAGGAAGCTTGGTTTATCTGAATACACACCTGATTTAGGAAGCTAAGAGGTATCTCTCGAAAGGTGCTTGTCTTTGAACAGCGAAAGCTGCTACCTCTGTTCTGTAACGCACAAAGTAAACAAGCTCT